TTAATTGAATGAAATGCAGATCATAATCTCTTACTATCTAAGAGTGACGAATCCTTTATTGGTTATTCACAACCTTCATATGATTCTTGATATACCCGAACGATATCGTATTAGTGGTCCTTGGCAGAGCAACATCCAACACCGTCAAAGCATGACCGTCCTCGTATAAGGTACTATGACGACCTCAAGTCAAAAGGACCAATCCCATTACCAAACGTTAGAGATTAATAACTGACACTCAGATAGTTATCCATGTGGAATCTCTCGACAAGTCTCCAATATTTTGTTCTATAACAAAACATCCACGTGTTCATTTAAGTGTCACCACACTTTAACTTGTGCGATCAACTACTTATTTCACAAGTAAGAAATGTCACACGTGATGGTCTATCCGTAATAACGATATCCGTATCTCGTTATTACTTACGACCACGGACGATTTAAGATTCAATCACATGTAATTTGTATCTTACAATCACAACTCCTTATGACTAACAAATTACGAAGATTTGAATCTACGGACTCTATTATTTAATTTAATTGTCTATTAATTAAATAATAAATCTGCTATTAAATTGCATTAATTATATATTAAAAGTATTTATGTCCAAGGTTGATTGGATCTAAGACATAACACTTACACGGACAAGCTCTTATTCCTTGACTTCCTGGGGTACATCCCGCGATTTACCTCCCTCATGATGCTCCAAAGGGTGGGTTGGGATGGGACGGGATGGGGCGGGGTGGCGGGGGCCCTCAACATTGAGGTTAAACTTTTTTTTTTTTTTTAATATTAATAAATGAGATGCAATTGGTACAAGGGAATATAATGTGTTTTAGTTACCCAACTACTGACACAGATTTGATTTTTATAACTTCTATATGCTTATTTATCATAAAATTGAAGCACGATTTCATAACTTTTACATGCTTTAATATCATATAGTTGAAGCATTTCGTCAATAAATTAAGTTATTAAAAAGGAGATTTTTATTTTATTTTATTTCATTTTTTAAATCTAAGTCTTGCTTGCAACAGTTACTATTAAAAGAAAGTATGATTTTTTCACCGATTCTCTAACTACCCATGAGTTGGATGCGCAAACTATCCATTCTCATTCGCGAGATGAGTAAGTGCAGATGGAGCCTCGATCATTATATGGGATCCTATGTACCCATAGTTGTAAAACCTAGCATGGACTTGAATCAACGTGTTCTCTTATTTTGATTGGGTACAAAACGTATAGAGAAGGGGCAATGCCGTTAATTGATTTTGCACATCTATTAGACAACTCTTGTACCATAAGTAGACAGTTCGAGTCAGCTATATGAAACATGCTCCACCATGAAGGAACATACACTACTCCATAGAAGTCTCTCCTTTCTTACATAAAATAAAAGTGTTACTTTCTTACATAAGGTCAAGGCCTATCTAAGCAGTAACAGAGAATCCTCCAGGGTTCAAGTCTATTTTTGGGGAGAATGGCGGATATATATATATACACATTCTTCCATTTAACACATGATAGTTAAATATTCCTATTTACAAGAATATCACCTTCTTACATTTAGCATCAGGCATCTATGTGTTTAATTACATAAATATTTAAGAGAAAATTGGAACTTTTTGAATAGCTATGTGGATAAACATTTAACATCAGGCATCTATGTGTTTAATTACATAAATATTTAAGAGAAAATTGGAACTTTTTGAATAGCTATTTGGATAAAGGATAATTATATTCACACTATAATTTTTATTTCTTAATTATATTTTGGTTACACTTAAAATTCTTAACTATTATAACATTTATGTCCCTAACTGTTTTTTATATCATTTTTATCCTCAAATTTTCCATTAGTTAACATATTTTGTGTTTGATAATAGTTTTATGTCAAAAGTCCGTTGAAATGGCATAAAACAACTTATTTCTTATCATATTTTAAAAAATAAAAAGTTCAAAAGTTTATTTTTTACTCATTTCAAAGCATGAAAATAAAATATGTAGATACAAAGACGAGACGTACTAATTAATGGAAGGTTGAAGATAAAATTTTGATGAAAAAATTAAGAAAATATTTGCTATAGTGAGTAAAGATTGAAGAACCTAACTGTAATTAAAATATGGCGTATCAAATAAAAATTGTGGTGGCAATTTAATCACCCTATATATATATATATATATAAAGTTTAGGGCAAAATTGAAATTACAAATATGAAATTTCTAAACTGTCTTTAGTGAAATTTTGGTCCGTGTAGAGGCAATAATTAGACTCTACAACTTAACTTAACTTCTTGCCTCATATTCTTAAAGTTCCTCAAAATTTTGTTCTTCTAGTTTGTTAAAAATAATTGGGTGGTATACATTTATGGGCGAATTTGTTGTGATCATGTTTTATTGTTGGTGGAATGTGTCTGCTGGAAATGGGAATCCCATTGTACACTATGATAATCGAGGTGAAGTGCCACGATGTGATACAAATTATGAGATTGTAACAAATGTCCGAGAAGCAAAGAATCCAAAGAGAGATTTCAAATCAGCCATAATATTAGTGCTCTGTGGATATCATTTTAGTACTAAAATTGTAAGAACTTTGCTATATTGACAGTGAGTGGTTGAGAGCCTTCCAAACACTCACAATAGAGGGTGGGATCATTTTTTTTGGAATTTTTTTTATTTACGTGGGTCTCACACGCATGTGAAAAGATGTCAAGGCTTCTATCAATAATTTTCAGTCAACTCAACTGAATTCAAATTGTAAATATAAAAATAATGCTATTTAACCCCACTCGGATTACAAACTTAGTCTAGATGATGCATTTAATGCCACATTAAATGCGTTTGGACTGGGGTTGCAACCGCAATGGGTCATATAACATTATACTAAATATAATAATACATTCTTGTATTTTTATGTCAAATTTGATTCCGAGTCAACAAAAATAGTTGTTTGAAGAAAAATTAATGTCGTAATCTCAATGGGCTAAATAACATTACTCTTAGTATAAATGAAATAATAAATTCTTATTTTTTTTTTTTTTTGTCAAATTTGATTCTGAGTCAACAAAAATAGCTGTCTGAAGAAATTAACGCCGTGATTACCTTCTAATTATTTTTATTTGCCATTCCTGAAGCTCATTCCATATCCATAGCAATATCCGCAAATTTATCCGAATTTACAGTACCTAAATATAGTAAAATATCCACTTTAAATGTGGCCATTTTTTCATGGATTTAAACACTAGATTAACATCATCATCTTCATCTCATCTCCAGGAACAGAGAGAGTCGAGAGCAAAGAATTTTACATTCATTTTAGCTCTCGTCTCTCCCTCTCCACTGCACATATCTAAATAACTTTGAAAATCTTAGGATAACAAATTTCCTTTTTTCCTTTCTTTGTCTGTCAGAGATATATCAAGCAAATTTCTGCATTTTTTAACATCTTTGGAATTCTCATAGAAACAACAATGGCGAATCAAGAATCAGATTTTTTCAAGTCTAAGATTACATTATATGTATTGGCATGTTGGATTCTTGCAGCCTTTGGTGGCCTAATGTTCGGTTATGACATCGGCATTTCAGGTAACGTAAAATTTAGACCTTTGGCTAATATATCTTCGCATATGGTGGATTCAAGATTATTTGCAGATTATGAACAATTCCATGAATCCTTCTCTGTCATTCGGGTCTCATTTCACGCTCATATTTATATATGTTTATTTACTTTGTCTATTGTTGATCAGGTGGAGTTAGTGGAATGGATGATTTCTTGATCAAATTTTTTCCCAAAGTTCATGAAAGAAAGATTCATGCATCAGAAAACAACTACTGTAAATATGATGATCAAATGCTCCAACTCTTCACATCATCCTTGTACCTAGCTGCCCTTGTAGCCAGTTTTTTTGCATCAAAGGCATGCACTATATTAGGACGTAGGCCCACAATTCTTATGGCATCAACATTTTTCATTGCTGGTGCTTCTTTGAGTGCTGCTGCTCAGATGAAATGGATGCTTATTATAGGGAGAATTCTTTTTGGCATTGGGGTAGGATTTGGAAATGAGGTGTGTATATGAAAAACTCACACTTTTAACATATAATTTTTTTTTAAATTTAAAAACTACTAGTAAATTTTTTCATGAAAATATTCTGAGTTTTTTATTTGGAATTGCATTTCGACTTCGTTGTTTGTTATGTTAGGCTAAAAAATATAGGAAGTGATTAAAGTTAAATATGATTATATGAATAGTTTTTCTGTCCTAATTACCATAAGACAATCAATTTCTTCGTTTAGTTTGAAGTAAATTGATCTGCGAACTGGAAATGAATATTTTGTGGTTATTTTAATATTGATTCGTCCGTTCATTATGAATAATTTTTAGGATACATCACTATTTCTTGAAATTCTAGCATAATGGGTTATGATAAAATTCCCCTAATGTTGAGTGCATTGAAAATTGCAGGCAGTTCCCTTGTTTTTGACAGAAATTGCACCTGTACAGCACAGGGGTGCTGTCAACATTCTCTTCCAACTCTTTGTTACTATAGGAATTTTTATTGCTAACCTTGTAAATTATGGCACATCAATGGTGCATCCCTATGGCTGGAGACTCTCTCTTGGCCTGGCAGCTGTTCCAGCAGTCGTATTACTCTTTGGTTCTTTGATCATCACAGAAACTCCCCCGAGTCTCGTGGAACGAGGCAAAGAAGCCGAAGGCAAGGCAGCACTTATAAAGATTAGGGGTGTCAATGATGTTGATACTGAATTTCAACAAATAGTGGCTGCCTGTGAACAAGCGCGCCAAGTTAAGCAACCGATCAAGAAACTCATGAAGCGTTCCAGCAGGCCGCCTCTAATTATTGCCATTTTCCTCCAAATCTTCCAGCAATTCACTGGCATTAACGCGATCATGTTCTACGCACCGGTTCTATTCCAAACTTTGGGATTCAAGGCGGATGCCTCTTTATTGTCCTCAGTTATCACCGGCCTTGTGAACGTTGGTAGCACTTTTGTGTCAATATACGCCGTTGATAAAGTTGGAAGGAGGTTGTTGCTTCTCCAAGCTTGTGTCCAAATGTTTATTTCCCAGGTACATTACCATGTTTTCCTATGAAAAGGGCATCAAATGAGCTAATTCAAGTCAAGTTCTAAGTCGTTTAAAAATTCAACTTGATATTATGAACTCCTCATAAATTATGAGCAGAGCAGATCTAGAATCAACTTTTGATGAATCAAACTCTAGCGAAAAGCTCGAATAGACCTAAATGCATCTGTTTTATCTCTCTATTTTCTTCTTTGTCCATATTATGTCACATGCTTAACTGCCACCCGATGTTCTGGTCCAAGGTTAGAACTAGACACAATAAAGAAGAAAAAGAAGTTAAAATCTTATCTATTACACTGTATTGTCGAAATTAAACCCAACTCTGTTCGTTTCTTGTGCAGCTTGCTATCGGATTTATCCTACATTTCCACTTGAAAGAAACAGGTTCACTTGACAGGACTCTAGCAGCAGTTGTTGTGGTACTGGTGTGCACATTTGTAATGTCGTTCGCATGGTCTTGGGGTCCCCTTGGTTGGTTAATTCCAAGTGAAACGTTCCCTCTTGAAACAAGAACTGCAGGATTTGCCTTTGCAGTTAGTTCAAATATGGTTTTCACTTTCCTAATTGCACAGGCTTTCCTGTCAATGCTTTGCCATTTACAATCCTATATATTCTTCTTCTTCTCTGCGTGGATTTTTGTAATGGGGCTTTTCGTCGTCTTCCTTCTGCCGGAGACGAAAGGCGTCCCAATCGATTTGATGACAGAGAGGGTATGGAAACAACATCCAGTGTGGAAGAATTTCTTCGAGGGTGAAGCGAATAGGAGTTATGAGCCATGACAACAAAGTATGTTTGAGATGAAGTTGTTACAGTTCTGAACTAATTATTTTCCAACATTAGTTTAAAAATAAAAAATAAAAAAATAAAAATTTCTTTTCCTATTTTTGTTCATGTGTATACTTGGGAAGTCTTTCTTCTTCATGTTTTATGTTCCTTTCTTTTCCATTTTCTTATTAATTTTAATAGATGAAAAAAATTATAAATGTAAATTAACTTAATAATTTAAATTATTGCTTTTTAATTATAAATTAAATAATTTTAAGTAGAAAACTAAGAAAAGTGAGATTTTTTTTTTTTAAGTAACTAGCTTAACATAATGATTGAGATCAATTGGTCCAATAGAGAGTCCAACTCTAGAAAAAATTTTAACTCGATTTATTGATTGAGAAAACATGTTATTTTGACTAAAAAAGCAAAGGGAAAAGGTGAGATTGTTTTTGAAATAACTTGCTAAACCTATCGAATTAGATCAATTGGTCCTGTAGAAAGTCCAACTCTAGAAAATTATTTAACATAAAGGATTGATCGAGTACACTTGTTACTTTGACTAAAAATCGGTAAAATATAGATTTTTTTGGGTCAAGTTCGACAAAGATAAAAGTTGAGAAAACCTTTATTTTGAGAATAACTGCATTTAATATCACATTTATTATTTGAGTAGCTAATTGATCATCAATCTTTAGCTACAAAGTTAGCCTTCTACATTTCAATATTATCATATATATACATTT